TTGGTTAGGCGACTGCCTTCGGCTCGGGTCATGATCCTGGAGTCCCAGGATCGAGTCCCGCATCGGGCTCCCTGCTCGGCAGGGAGTCTGCTTCTCCCTCTGACCCTCCCCCCCTCATTCTCTATCTCATTCTCTCTCTCAAATAAAAAATAAATGAAATCTTAAAAAAAAAAAAGAAAAAGAAGGCAGAGACTGGGGTTATGAAGCCCCAGACAAGGAATGCCGAGGGTTACCAGGAGGCAGCAAAAGCTAGAAGACAGGCATGGAGCAGATTCTCCCTTGGACTCTCCGGGGGAGCCTGGCCCTGCCAACGCCTTGACTTTGGACTTGTGGCCGTCAGACTGTGAGAGAATACACGTCTGTTGCTTGAAGCCCATCAACTTTGTGGTAATTCATTACGGCAACCCTAGGAAACAACAGACCAGCTGAATAACTTGCCAAAAGTTTAATTATAAGTCTGGCTCCCTTGGCTCTTGTTGACTCACATCCTTCATTTAGAGAATGTTGGTGGGTCACCATTGCTGTGGTTTATTTTGAAATACAGTGTTAAATGTCTATGGCTAATTAAATGCATAAGGTCCCACAGCAACTACCTTCCACAGGACTAGAGACTAGACCATTGCTTGAATTTTTTTTTAATCTTAGAAAGTCAAAGAGGTCCAGAGGTAAAACTGAAAAAACTGGACTTCTTTTTCAACTGAAAGGCAGAGTAGCAGAGAATCAGGAACAAGGGATGGGGTCAAATAGTCCCAGACAGGAACCCTTTAACTAAGTGGATAAACGAGGACAAATTAGTGAAACTCTCTAGGCTTCTCTTGTTCATTTATAAAGTAAGAATTACTGAACTCCCTGAAATATTATCAGCTAATTGAATGTAGGAGACATAGCCTTGACAAAGTCTTAGCATTTCAGGAAAGGGAGGTCAGAAGAGGATATTTATAGGGTTTGGGGGTCTGGGTTCAAGTGACTTCAAGGGAGTCTTTTCAAGGAAGGAATTGCCCAGAATTGGGCTAAAATCCTGACATTATAGGTTAGGATTGGTGAATACAGCGGGGTGAGGGTCTTAAAGCAAGTCTTGAAGGGTAAATGTGCTTTGAAGAGAACAAGAAATTTGCTCAGGGTGAACAGACTGTTATCTCAGATAAGTTATCTGTAGGAATTTCCTGAAGCAAACAGAGAACTTATTTATTGGTTTATACTCTTATCTTTCCCAGGCAAAGTTATCATGGAACAAATAACGAAGTCATATTGACACAGGGGGTCTCAGTTCTAAGTCCAAATAGCTATGTCATGTTGATGGTCATTGTCACAGTTCTCAAGGCAATGACATCCACTCTGGTGGGTTGCAGTAAGGAGTAAATGAGATCATGGGTCTACCATGCCCGCCACATCACAAGAACTAAATAAGCAATAACCTATTACTATTATTATTATTTATTATTATTACCCACTTTTATTTACTTGGAAAGAGAAGACAAATGTAGCTGGAAAGGTTTAACAGCCCTCAAGTTGTTTATTTCCTTTTATAAGAAGCAAAAAAAATGGCTTTTAGTTTTCTTATAATTCAGGAACTACCACAAAGCTGCTGAATTTGTTGACAGAATTTGCATTTATGGAAATAAGGGGACAAAAAGGAATAAAAAGTGAGGGTGCCTTTTCTGTGTTGTAATTCTAGCTGGCTTTATATCTGCATTCCCCCAAGGACTCTAGAGTAATCAGCTCTTCACGAGAGCTTACTCTTGAACATGCAGAGAGGTGTCCTAGATGGTGCAATACATGAGGGTGCAATGCTTTTTGAGACTCGGGGGTCTCTGCTCACTCACGATGCATAATGTCAGTTGATGATTAAACTTTGCTCGCAAGGGGAAACTACACCTCTTCTGCCTCTAAACATACAAAGCCCAGAGGAATCCCTGAGTGTTGGTACTGGCTATAGAATCTAGAGACCTCATCTGAGTCTCATCCTCAGGAACAGAAGATAACATGGCCAGATGCCTGTCTGACCCCAAAGACAGTGCTCACTAGTGCTCCCTCTGCTCCCTCCACTGAACCCTGGAGTAGTGTTCTAAAGAGAGGTGGGGACCACTCTGGTTCAGACTGATAACAGAAATGCTGATGTGAATGAGCAAAAATGCAATGCATAGACTGTGTTGTTGTTGTTTTTTTAAGATTTTATTTATCCATTTGACAGAGAGAGACACAGCGAGAGAGGGCACACAAGCAGTGGGGTGGGAGAGGGAGAAGCAGGCTTCCCGCAGCGCAGGGAGCCCGATGTGGGGCTCGATCCCAGAATTCTGGGATCATGACCTGAGCCGAAGGCAGACACTTAACGACTGAGCCACCCAGGCGCCCTAGACTGTGTTTTTAAAAACTAAAATGGCAGGGGCAGGTAGGTGGCACAGTCAGTTGAGCGGCTGACTCTTGGTTTTGGCTCAGGTGGTGGCCTCAGGGTCATGAGATACAGCCCTGCAATGAGCCCCTCATCAGGCTCCCTGCTGAGCATGAAGTCTGCTTGAGATTCTTCCCCCTCCTTCTGCCTTCCCCTCTGCTCCTCCCCTGCTCATGCACGTGCGCTCTCTGTCTCCCTCCTGCTCTAAAAGAAACATAATGATAATAATAAAAATGAAATGGCATATAATTTCCAAACCTGCTGTAGATTTAGGAACCAAGTAGTAGATGTACTTAGCTACTGACTAGATAAAATGATATATAATTAACATTTTTTATATTCTTAATCAGTCTGAACATTTGCCCTATACTGCTTTTGCATTATTAATTTACTCAATTTGTTAAAAGGGTTTCCTAAGCTGTGACTTCATTTCAGTTTTGAATTCCAAATATTGGTATATTCTGGCTTAATAATTGAGTGCCTACAGGTCAGGTTCCAGGGCCTTACTACTTAGATCTGCATCCCAGCCTACCATTTTCTGGCTGTGTATAAAAATATAAAGCACTAGATAAGTATAAGGGAATATCATTAACTAAATTCTATTTAGTCTAATTTTTATGCTAAATCGTATTGTTTTATGGGCCCCTGGGTGGCTCAGTTGGTTAAATGATCGACTCTTGATTTTGGCTCAGGTCGTGATGGATCTCAGGGTCATGATCTCAGGGTTTTGAATCCAGCCCTGCATTGGGCTTTGTGCTCAGCTTGGAGTCTGCTTGGCCCTCTCCTTCTGCTCCCCCTCCCCTCTCTCTCAAATAAATAAGTAAATAAATAAATCTTATTGTTTTCCTACAGTCTTTTACAAGTGTCTGTGCTCCTGCAGGTAGAATTCTGTGAGTTGGAACCAGACTATAAAGACATATTTGTTGGCATTCAGACCATCTACTATAGACAATATCTTCCCTTAGTTAAGCTAACAGCTATAAATTTTCAATTTGCCCCTGAGTCATGATTCAAGCATGACTCTATGAGTCAAGAAGTTAAAAATTATCTATTTCCCCTTCTTTGTGCAAATATCTCTGATGTAACCTAAGAAAAAACTTGCCTCCGTCTGGGTGTTTCTTGATATTTTAAGGGGGCTGTTTTAAGTGAAGAGGATGAAGGGAGATTATCTTCATAAAGAAAGAGCATGTGCATATAGCCCCTGAATACACACACACACACACACACACAAAACACAACACAAACTCTATGCTCCAACCAGAAAAGCACTTTCCTGCTAGCAGGTCCTTATTCATGCAGTCCCCTCCACCTGCAGTTCCTTTTCCTCCCACTTCTGCCTGTCTAGTCATACCTAGAATTCAGGGCTTTGTTAAAATCTCAGATTTTCAATGAGATGTATTGAGTGTTCTTTGCTCTATCAATAATCTTTCAGATAGATCCTCCCCTTCCAAAGATGATAAAACTGACAGATTAAATGATTTGTTCAGGTCACCTTTGTGGAATTTGCAGAAAAATTTAACACACATCCTTTTCCCCCTATGCCCCAGGTATATCTTCTCAAATCATTGTAGTCTGAACCAATTGACATCCCCCTCACCAGTCCAGTTCCCTGTCAACGCATACATATCACACGTTGCCATGCATTACAGAGTTCCTTGTGAATAGAGGCCTCCTTCCCCAGAGAATAGCTCCCATAGAACCGTGACCATTCTATCCTCCAAATCCCTCATAGCTTTTAGCGTCGTGTATGCATCCAGCTACAGTAAAGTTTTTTATTCGTTGAATCAGAACAGAATATCCCAAGGATATTTCCTACTACCTTCCCATGAATGAACTCAGTTTTGTATGATTCCACTTTGATTCTCCCCTAAGGAAGATCTTCTGGAAGTATCAAAACCACCATAAAGTAGATGCAAGAGATGGTGAAGATCCAAGGCCTACTGCTGCCTTCTGCTGGCTCTGCGATCATCAAATGCAAAGCTCTCTTTGGAAAGAACAAGGAATAATGGGCAATCCCTTCCAGACAGCTTTTGGGAATGAACTGTCCTTGACATACCCTGAGTTAACTGTGGTCTGAAGGCCCAAGGCCATTTGCAGCAGGATTTGAATAACTATCATTACTTCTGCCATTACCACCACCCAATAAAAACCATCACTGACTTGATGGAATTATCTTCTGTTGAGCAGTGCCACCGAACTCCAACGTGTGACAGAGCATATGGTCTTTGACAACAGCATTATTTATCAAAGGAGGATAAAAATCACAGTGGCGCCCTACTTTTCACAGGAGGTGATGTCTTGGGGACAAGACAGCTTCAACTCAGCTTGGGTTTTCAAAGACACGGCCCCCGTTTTCCCACAAAGCAATTCATAAAAGTGAAAATGGAACACATGCTGAATGGGATTTTCAGAATAATGAAAACCCTACAATTAGGAAGCAGTAGTTAAAGTTATATTACCCCATAAGAGCAAAGCTTAGTAACAAGTTAATGCAATTACTAATTCAGCTTTTCTAGAGATAGAAGCAAACAGGGCAATTAAATCCTTAGTCTTCATTTTTTCAGGGGCTTAATGAAAGGGAAATAAATGAGCTGGATCCCCTTCTTCTTACCTCTGTCTCTGCTGTGCCATCAGGGGATAGGTTTCCCACCTCCTCTCTCCAATCCAGTCTGAAAAATAAAACAGGCCACCGCTGTGAAATGGATTATGCCCCACAACTTTGTACCTGGACTAGAAGCCCTCAGTTTTGACAAAGATTGCCAAGAATTTTGCATCACTAGCAGCTTCCTATTCCCTCATTAGCCTGCTTATTCTACTTAACAAAAGATTCTCTGTATGTTGATTTGTATGTGAATGTCCACACACCCTGCATGCTTTGATTCTGTCCTATCCCCGTACATAGTAGTAATCGAACTCTTTACCTTTTGTAACCCTTCTCCCACACAAACCCGATTCACTCCAGACAAACGATGGACCCACAATCTCCCAAACACAGTTGTCACTTTCTGATGACCTTTATGCATACCATTCTTTATTGCGGAGCCATTTCAGAGAAGGTACCAGATGAAGGTGATTTCTCCTAGCTGCGTGCTACATTGGAGGAGCACATTGTCTGATAGAATGACTGGCAGCTCACCGCCACAAAGAGGACAGATGATACAGGGGCTCAATTCTTTGATGCTAAGAAAAAAGCCCCAAAACTCACCTATCTATATGTAATTATAGCCTTTAGTATCCAGTAGTACCAAGCCAAAACAGTCCCTGTTTGGACATGCATCATTGTAAATGAACAGCCAAATTTAGTAAATGGTTGGCCAATTCTGAACACAGAATAGTGACTTCTGGGTGATCATTTTTTTTTTTAAAGATTTTTATTTATTTATTGAGAGAGAGAGAATGACAGAGAGCATGAGAGGGTGGAGGGTCAGAGGGAGAAGGAGACTCCCTGCTGAGCAGGGAGCCTGACGCGGGACTCGATCCTGGGACTCCAGGATCATGACCTGAGCCAAAGGCAGTCGCCCAACCAACTGAGCCACCCAGGCGCCCCTGGGTGATCATTTTGATCAAGCTGACTCACACATTTCTGGTTCAAGAAAGGTGTTCAATGAGAAGCCTGAAAATTGTGTGTAAACGGGACCCAGATTTATAAACAGTTAATTTAGATAAATTAACCTGTATTTTACTGAATGTAAGGTACCCCTGATCATAAGATACACCATCATTTAATGTGTCCTGGAGAAAAATAACACAATTAGAGCATGCCACCACGTTTTCTTATTAAAAAGAAGATGCATGCCACCACATTTTCTTATTAGAAAGCTTCATCTTTTGTTATGTTAAATTTATTTGCTACAAATAGGTATTTATTAAACAACACAGGACCAGGATATGAACATCTTTGCCAAGTTTCCATATGTACCACAACCATCATCATGTCTGTCATTGACCAACAGTGATTTTGATACCATCAATTGTCTGATGCACCCTGATTTCAAAGTTGTTGAATTGTAAGAAAATGGGCTCTTCGGCATTGATGAAATAGGGTACCTGTATTCTTCAGATGAGGATCTCATGCAATCAACAGCTTCTCCTCACTTGACATCAGCTCTAGCCCCAAGTGACATATGGATCTTATCTGTGCTCTTGGAGTCTTCCTCTTCCTCTGTCTCCCCCTCCTTATGCTCCATGATGGTCCTCCCAAGGCTACGCCTCACACTGGCCTACTCCTTGGCCAGTTATTAAACTTTAAGCTTTTTTTTTTTTTTTTCAGTTTTCCAAAACTCCTTAAGGCTTACAATTGTCACCTTATTCCTGCCATTATTGCTCTTTATTTTTTTCTTAAGCCTTTTTTTTTTTACATCAAGAAAAATTTCCTTTGATTAAAACCTGTAACTGGGGGCGCCTGGGTGGCTCAGTTAGTTGAGCGTTTGCCTTTGGCTCGTTTCATGATCTCCAGGTCCTGGGATCGAGCCCCGCATCAGGCTCCCAGCTCATTGGAGAGCCTGCTTCTCCCTCTCCCTCTGCCTCTCCCCCTACTTGTGCTCTCTCTGTCTCTCTCTCAAATGAATAAAAAAAAAAAAAAAACCCTAAAAAAAACATGTAACTGTCCCTGTTCTCTCCCAAGAGGCTTTTAAGAGGTATGCAAAGATTTGGGGCAGAAAAGAACAATGATCCAGGTGCTAGTTCAAAGACTGTCCCTCCCCCACTTCCAGGAACCTCCTAAACACACCCTCTCTATTAGCCTACCTTTTTTTTTTTTTTTTAATTTCAATTTCTTTTTTTCTCTTACAGCTACACAGCAAGATCAAAGGAACACCTTGTCCCTGGGTCTTCGGCACAGAAAAGCCTTCAACTCCTTAACTGGTCATCATCCCACTTATTCAACTGTCTCATGACCCCGAGGCCAGAGTGAGCAAGATGGCTCCAGGCACCTCACATCCTCCCACACACATACCCATCCCCCTAGGCTAACTGTTACTTTTTTCATTTACTTTGTTCCACCTTCAAAGAGGCTCTTAATATTCATGTTAACCTGATTTCACCTGTATAGAAACATTAGAGGACATGTGGGCATTCTGTGATGTGTCCTGGTTCTAAACATCCCCAAGGGTGGTCCTGACCCACTAAAAGTAAGTTTGCTTCAGAGCCAACTTAAAATATTCATTTACCTGGCTCCCTAACCGGAGGTAATCTTACCCTTCAATGACTAGTGACAGTGCTATTCTTCCTATTCAATGTTTATATACAGTGTTGTGCAGAAAAATGTTTCACAACTGGCTGGGGGTGGAGGGAGAAAATTTTGACTTTGTCGGTTTGGGTGGTATAAATACTGCCACCATGGCTGATTTCAAGCCACCAACATGATGTCACTAAACACAGTAAATAGACATAACTTCACGAGTAGCACTAACAGTAAAATGTAGGAAAATGATTTAGGAAGTGATGAGGGGTTTTTTTTTTTTTGGTTTTTTGGTTTTTTAAGATTTTATTTATTTATTTGAGAGAGAGAGAATGAGAGACAGAGAGCATGAGGGGGAGGAGTGTCAGAGGGAGAAGCAGACTCCCCGCTGAGTAGGGAGCCCGATGCGGGACTCGATCCCAGGACTCCAGGATCATGACCTGAGCCTAAGGCAGTCGAGTAACCAACTGAACCACCCATGCACCCGGAAGTGATGAGTTTTGACAATTAACTGTCTTTGTTTTTAATATAGTTTCTTTTGTTATAAATTATACCCAAACCGACAAAGTCAAAATTTTCTCCCTCCACCCCCAGTATATCTGTCTAAACCCAAGACTATTAATATCTACCAAAGGGTGTCTGTCATAGGTAGAAAGTATTGGTAAAGTCTGTGAAAATTCTCTACATATGTCACCAAAACCACGATTATCTCATGCTAGAGGAGTTACAATTGAATGAATTTTAGCTTTATATGCCACAGTGACATCGCAGACATAGCTGCATACCATGGAGTATGCATCTTTCGAGACCTTTATATTTCCCACCCCTTCCCATACCCCTGGCAGACATCATTAATTGATCACTACACTCTTCCTCCACTGAGTGCTACTGTTCTTCCCAACAGGGCTCTATAGGAAACACTCCAAATCCTGGCCCTGTGCTCTAAATGGATTAGGCCTCTTGCAGGAAGGGTAAGGGCTACATGGGCCTAGTGTGTTATTTCAGGTTCGTTCTGATGGTGTTACTTTCATAGAGTTCACCTTTTGAAAATCTTGTTGCCAATTGTTCCCCACTGTAAACCCCAACGTGTAAAGTCAAGAGCTTTACATTGGCTTTGGCTTTTCTCCCCTCCAGCATTGCACCGGAGAGATGTCATATGTCTTGCTTTAAACAGACCAAATTGTTCGCCGTCACCGTGGTCAGCAAATGTACCTTATAGAAGTCCGTTATTTAAGCTTTCCTGGCTTTTTGCCACTACCACTAGAGAGCTCCACATAAAGGGAAAGGGGGTAAAACTAAGGGGAAGCCATTTTCCTTTTCAGTGTCTTCACATGCTTTCTCTCCGCTTAACCTCACCATCCAGATCAGGAACTCCTGTCCCAACCCGCGCTGCCGCCTTGGACACCCCCAACAGCCAGCCGCTTCCCACAGAAACAGAAACATCTCTTTTTACTTCCCTGTACCTGTCCCTCTCCTCCGATCCCAATCACCTGACATTCATCTCACTTTTCCGTGTCTTTCTGCTCCCATTAGATTGTGAGTCCTTGAGAGCAAGGCCAGGCTTTGTGTCCCCAGGCCGTTGTGGTACCTCGCACACAGTCGGTCCTGTATAAGAAGCCTTTGTGTGTCACATTAGAGACCTAATGTGCTGAAAGTCACAGGCCTCTCATTCAGGGTGAGAGAAATGAAAACCATACCATGTCATTAAGTTGTAGCAAATTTTCCCCAAGTACTTCGGCATGTGCTTGGGCCCTGCTCTCTAACTCTTCTTACCATGAAACAAATCCCATATGGGCACTGGTCTTCAGCTCTTCCGCTCGGTAGAATTCAGCTTCTTGACTCTGCATCCTTAAAGGTCTGATACAGAAAGAACCTGCACATCATTCAACCTGATGCTGTAGTAGTTTTCATTGACGGTCTCACGGAAAAGCCGGGGGACAAGCTTCTAACCAAAATTACTTCTGCCTTGGGGCGCCTGGGTGGCTCAGTCATTGGGCGTCTGCCTTCGGCTCAGGTCATGATCCCAGAATTCTGGGATCGAGCCCCACATCGGGCTCCCTGCGCAGCAGGAAGCCTGCTTCTCCCTCTCCCACTTCCCCTGCTTCTGTTCCCTCTCTTGCTGTGTCTCTGTCAAATAAATAAAATCTTTAAAAAAAAAAAAATTACTTCTGCCTCCCTCCCTCTCCCCATCGAAAATTCTTAGAGGTGTTTTTTTCCCCCTGTTGACTTTAATTATGTTCTCCCAATAGCCTTTTGAAATTGGGCAAGCTCCCGGGAGCATTTTGAAAGGCCCTGTGAGCTTCCTGGTCAGCATTTTCAATCTCTAATTATAACTTTGCATGATGGCTTCACTTAATACTTGTCAGGTGGGGCTGGGAGTAATTGATGGTTTGAAACTCAATCTTCAGTAGCCACCACCAAGGTATTGAGGCTTAATTCCTCTTATGTTCTTAGAGGAGCTGCTGAAAGCAAAGAGTAAATTTATGCTAT